CGGGTTGACCTCAAAGTTCTGGCAATCCTCCTGCCTCAACCTCTGGAATGCTAGAACTACAGGTGTGCACCAACATGCCCAGCAAACCAAGCACTTTAAAGAGAGATACTGATGGTGTTTACACTCTGATTTCAGAGTCAATCTGTGTAGAGCCAATTTGGCAAGCATGAAAATGGGTGGGGCTGGAGAGATGGCTCCATGGTTATGGCTGCTCTTGTAGAGGCCCGGGTTATATTTCCAGCACCCACACGATGGATCACAACCATCTATAACTTCAGTTCCAGGGACCTGATGCCCTCTTCTGGCATCCACCTGCTCCAGCACGCACCTGGTGCATATACATGCACTCAGACACACATACACATACCCAAAAAAATTTGTGTGTGGTAATTTTTTTTCTAGTCTAAAAAGGCAGTATGTATGGTGGCTTTTGTTAATAGCCTAGCATAGCACCTTTTTTTTGAGATATTTGACCATCCAAGTATATCTAAACAAATTCTAATCTCCGCTGGGCCCCTTCTTAAGAAACTGGCACTACTTCAATTAGCAGCTGCAGGGGATTTAAGCGTCAAACAAGGAAATCTCCCTTGGAGAGTCAGGGAGTGCTAGGGAGCAAGCGCTGGGCGGCTTCTCCCGGGTACCCACAGCCCCAGGTCATCAACAACCCCCAAAATCTCCGGGTGTGGCTTTGGGAGGCTGCCCGGGGGGCCTGGAATCCAGGAGGTGGGTGGGGCTGGCAGCCCTTGTTTTCTTTGAACATTCAAGGTCCTGGAACCTAATTTGCTAAACTCGAGCCCGAGAATTAGACGTCCCTGTTTGAATTCAAAGCCAAAGACACCCAGAGGTGTTTTCTGAGGATCTTTCCGTGTTTGTCCTGGGTTTTGCGCGGCTTTCCTCCCGGATAAGGAGGGGTCAGAGTCCCCCGGACGTGCTTTCTAGCCGCTATGCCGCAGCACGGCCAGCAGAGGGCAGCACTGCACTTCAGCGCGGCAGAGAATGACCAGCGTTAAAACAAGGATCGGATCCCTTGGTGCTCTGGTTTCACAATATTGCCTAGGGGGGAAAAGCCCTCGCTTTCCTCTGCTACCTAAATCTGAAACCTAAAGTCAGTTGGAAACGACCTACTACTGCCTTTGTGATACGGAGAGCCGATTTACTTCCTCATAGATCCAGATCGGCACTGAGCAAAACCAGACTTACCCCACACGACAGATGCCAACACACACTCACAAAGACACACGCGTCCTCTTCCTCTCTTTAGTTTCTCTTCCCACGCCATTTTAAGTTTGCTCTGCAAGGCGAGTCTTGGTTCCCAGGTTGGTGAAGGAATGCTAGGCATCGGTGAGTAGGGCAGGGAAAACATTTTCGGGAAGTACCTGCTTTCCCGGCATACCTGCTGTCAACCCTACCTTGAAGGCAGGTCAAAGCCAGCACCTGATTTCTAAACTCCTGGTCCCAGAAAAAAACAAGCAGCTCTAACTTGAGGCCGAGTCTCCCTGCCTGGATTCCCCGACTCCTACCTGCACCCCCGCCCTTCTGGGTACTGAGAGTCCAAATTAGTTCCTGTAGCCAGAGCCCAGTGTGACCGTCCCACTTAAGAAGAGCCAGAGAATTTCCTGTGTAGGACATTTTCCTTTCCCTGACCCAGTGCCACCTCTGGGCCATCCAAACTGCTCTTGGGCGACTGTGAGCTCACGCTGGCCCTCCCTCTGCCTTTTGGAATCTTCTGGAACCTGTGACTTTTTAACTGGCTCTCTGGATGGCTAAATGGGGAATTTCCATTCAGCCTGCTTTCCTGACGTGTGTGACTTCCGCAGCTCAGGTGGCAGGCAGGGTGTACTCTCAACTAGAAGCCTGAATGAAGAAAAAAGGAAAGAGAAACCCCATTCACCATTCATACCGAGAGGCTCACATTTAGCAAGGGGAATGACCCCCCAAGGCATCAAACTGGAAAGCGGACTCCAGCTTTTGGAGACCAGGTCACCCATGTGCCTGTCTGTACCCAGAGAACGAGAATAACACAGCTGGCCAGGTTTGGTAAGCAACCCTCGGCCAAGCACTGTTTCTTAGATCACTCATGGTGACCTCACTCTAGTGTGGGGTCCCAGGCTCTCCCATCAACCCTTCATTTAGCCTCAGCAGCTCCCTAGTATACACTGGGCTGAATTCCATGGAGTTTACCTCAGCTCTGTTTCAGGTTTTCTCTCTTTCCACAGGCGTGGAGCCCTGGGCTATGACACCTCACTTTTATGGGGCAGATAACACCCTTGACCTAGAACCTTCTGGTTCCACCCACTCCTCCCAGTCCCTCTCCACGTTTTTTTCCTCAGGGACGTGAATGGGCTCCATTGAGCAACGCTGTATGCTGGGAAGGATCACGTCAGACTTTATGCGTGTTAGTGCTATGAACATCTCAGTGTGATGTTTACATGAGCACAGACTCTCACCAGGAACTCCAAGCCATTTATGGACGTCTCTTTTAGCTTCCACCAGAACCCTGAAGGTAGGGGAGAAGGTTTATCATCCTGTAGAAGGGCAGGCCCAAGGGAACTTCCAGGCCTCTCTTGTAGAGTAACCCATCCAGTCATGGCCTCCAGTCTGTGCTGGACAGGGGTGTTTTGGTTTGATAAGCCCAAGGCCCTTCCAAGAAAACTGCATTCTGTAGTCACAAATAATCCTGATTCCAACAGTGAGTTTGAGGCCAGCCTGGTCTATTTGAGACCCTGTTTCACAAAAACAAGAGAGAGGGGATTTGAACGTTCAGAACACAGAGAAATGATGTCTGGGACGAGGAGAGTAATGCTGATTGCCCTGATCTTATCATTACACGGTTTTGGTTTGTTTGTTTGTTTGTTTGCTTTATTTATTTTTTTTAAATAGTGTCTCATGTAGACCAGGCTGGCCTTGAACTCACCAAGTAGTTGCAGCTAGTCCTTGAACTCCTGATTCTTTACCTGATGAGTGTGGGGATCATAGGGCATGAACCACTGTCACCTGACTACCATTGTATACAAGAACAAAAATGTCACACCGTGCTCCATAACTCATTAAAGTGTTTCTATGTCAGCTAATGAATACAGGCTTTAAAAAAAAACCCTGGAGTTCACTTCCCAGCACCCTGATGGGGCAATTCACAACCACCTGTAACTCTAACTCCAGAGGATCCAGTTCCTTTTTCTGGCCTCCACAGACACTTAAAATCATGCAAGCAAACACACATACATGTACAATAAACAAAATAGCTGGGCGTTGGTGGCATACTCCTTTAATCCCAGCACTCAGTGGGGAGAGGCAGAGGTGGCCAGTTCTCTGTGAGTTCAAGGCCAGCCTGGTCTACAAATCAAGTTCCAGGATAGTAAGAGCTGTCACACAGAGAAACCGTGTCTTGGAAAACAAACAAACAAAAAAAAGGGTGTTCACTTCCTAACCCTATTCTCATGCATGAATTTGACCTTATTTAGAAACAGGGTATTTGGGACAGCTGGAGATAGGGTTTAGTGGCTTAGCAGTGAAGAACACTGGTTGCTCTTGCAGAGGGCCTGGATTCAATTCCCAGCACCCACACAGCAGCTCACAGCTGTTTGTAACTCAGTACCAGGGAATCTAACCCCCTACCCCAAGAAGCCCTAAAATGAAAAGAAAGAGGGTTATTTGTCAAGGCAATCAAATTGGGTTAGACCAATGTCTGTGAGGCTGGAGGATCACGTGAGCTGAGGAGCTCACACCTCACCTGAGCAAATAGTGAAAAACAGAAAGCTGGGGGCCGGCAAGACAGATCAGCTGATGAAGGTACCCGGACCCCACGTGGCAGACAGAGAGAGGTGACTCCTACAAGATGTCCTGTAACCCCCATACATACATACACACACACACACACACACACACACACACATTTCAAAAAAAATTATTTCTTTTTAATTTTTAAGAGTGAAAAGCAGAAAAAAAGAGATTTATTCAATGTAGCTCTACGAGGAGGAGGGATGAAGAGATCCAGCGAACCCCACAATTCAACTTCTTTTTATCCGATGTGTAGAGTGCTGAGGTGACCTACTTGGTGTCTGTGTAGGATGCACAAAGCCCTTGGTTTGATCTGCAGCATTGCCAAAAAGAGTTTTAGTAATGATAATAAATACAGGGGCTGGAGAGCTATTTCAGTAGCTAAGAGTGCTGGCTGCCCTTCCAGAGGTCCCAGGTTCAATTCCCAGCACCCACACAGCAGCTCACAACTGTCTGTAACTCCAGTTCCAGGAGATCCAATGTCCTCTGTCCTCTTTGTGTATTACGAACATAAAACACACATAAAGTAAAAAATAAATCTTTCTAAAAATAATAAATGGAAGGAAATTTGGATATACAGAAGACAGGGAAAATGTCATATAATGATGTACAGCTGACCTACAAGTCAAGAAAAAGGCATAAAGCCTCTTTGGGGCCTTCAGAAGAAAAATGGGCAGCCGATACCTCGATTTTGGACTTCTGGACTCCTAAACCACAGGAGAGTAAATATTGTTTTATTTCTCATTTACTTATTTAGGTTTTTTTGAGACAGGGTTTCTCCTTGTAGTCCTGGCTGTCCTGGAACCAGCTCTGTAGATCAGGTTTGCCTCCAACTCAGAGGTCCGCCTTCCTCTGCTGCCTGAGTGCTGGGACTAAAGGCATGCATCACCATGCCCTGCTTACTTCTGTTTTAAACTGCCAAATTCGTGGCGCTTTTTAACGCTGGAGAAGTAATACGATCTCTAAAACTTTCTTCGTTTTTTTATGATCAGTAGTCTTACTATGTATACCAGGCTGGCTTTGAACACACAGAGATCTTCCTGAGTGCTGGGATTAAAGGCATGTGATCAGTGCTTTTTTTTTTTTTTTTTTTTTTTCTCTGTGTAACAGCCCTGGCTGTCCTGGAACTCACTCTGTAGACCAGGCTGGCCTCGAACTCGCAGAGATCCGCCTGCCTCTACCTCAGTGCTGGGTTTAAATAATATTTACATAATATTTAGTAGTGGTGTACAATCAGCAATGTGTGTTCTATACTAGGATGTGCCAGGCAAAATAAGCTCACTGGTGAGAAAGTGGCAAGTCTGTTTATTGAGTAACCAACTGCTTTCTAATTGGAATTGAGGCCAGCTCCACCCAGGGAATTCACATCTGGTACTGTAAACCTGGTCAAAAGCCCATGGCTGTGGGGTATCACCCTGTAGTGGAGAAGCTTCACGTTTTGCAAATGGGTATGATGTGCCTTCTAAATAATGATGTTTATCCGCATGGGTTAGTCCCACTGGTGGCTATTTATTTATTTATTTATTTGATTTTTCGCGACAGGGTTTCTCTGTGTAGCTTTGCGTTTTTCCTGGATCTCGCTCTGTAGACCAGGCTGGCCTCGAACTCACAGAGATCCGCCTGCCTCTGCCTCCCGAGTGCTGGGATTAAAGGTGTGCGCCACCACCGCCCAGCAAAAGAAGTCTTTTTGTTTTGTTTTGTCTTGGCCAGGTGTGGTAATGCACACCTTTGACCCCAGCACTCAGGAGGCAGAGGCAGACAGATCGCTGTAAATTCGAGGCCAGCCTGGTCTACAAATCGAGTTCCAGGAGAGCCAGGACTGTTATACAGAGAAACCACGCCTGGAAAAACAAAAAGAAGACACCTCTTTTTGCAGTAGGTAGCAATGACTGCAGACTCATGACTGGTCAAAGTGCTCAGAGTAAGTGACTATTGAATGATACGCCACAAATAGGAAGTCCTAGAATGATCCTCTCCAAGGCTCAGGGACCGTGATGGAGTGAACAGAAAGCGAGATCTGAAGCATGAGGTGGAGGGCTGTAGGATTCTGCCTCCGCGGTGCAACCTGGACATAGCATTCTTCAGCTCAAAGCATCTGTGATTGATTACTGGCTCCAGACCAGCACAGAACAAAGCCCAGCAGCGTCCTGCCGTAGGGCAGGGAGGCGCTCAGGAGGCCTCGACTTGCCCTAAACAGCTCCAGGTAATCTGATAGCTGCTGGGGGAGGGAGAGTTTCTTCAGTGACGTCGTCATGGGTAAGGTGGCCACGCTCAGATAAATAACCTGTCATTCATGCTCCTGTGAGTCACCCTGATGAAACTCATTGAGTATTGGGACACACACACACACACACACACACACACACACACACACACACACATCAAAGAGTGATTAGCTGGGAGGAAAGGGACCAGCTACCACCGGAGGGTGGGAAGAGAGCTTGGTGGAGGGAGAATAAGATCAAAATACATTTTGTTGTTGTTTTTTTTTGTTTTTCGAAGCAGGGTTTCTTTGTACACTTTTCTTTCTCACTCTGTAGACCAGGGTGGCCTGGAACTCACAGAGATCCACCTGCCTCTACCTCAGTGCTGGGTTTAAAGGGACATACCACTACTGCCCAGCCAAAATACATTTTTTTTTGGGGGGGGGGGTGTTTCGAGACAGGGTTTCTCTGTGTAGCTTTGTGCCTTTCCTGGATCTCGCTCTGTAGACCAGGCTGGCCTCGAACTCCCAAAGACCCACCCAGCTCTGTCTCCCGAGTGCTGGGATTAAAGGAGTGCACCACCACTGCCCGGCTAAAATACATTTTTATATATCTATAAAAATGTCAATGAAATTGTCATTATAATTAACATATACTGGTAAAAATATAAAATAACCAGATAAAAAATATTTCGAAAATTTTCCTTTTCCCAGATGTTCTCAGACTTTACCAGGCTGAAGAAACTTCACGGTCACATGAAGTGAAGGGCTGCCAGCCATCATGTTGACAAAGCAGATCCGCTGAGGATCTGATCAAGGAGAAAGCAGGCGGGCATAACTGGCTGGGCTGGTTTTCTCACAAATCTCAGTAACTTCATCCCAAAGAGACTGAATTGTAAAGGCAATTGACTCAGGAAGGGGGTTGAGCAGCACCCTACTCCCCCACTTCCCCCCACAAACACCCCCCCACACACACACACACCGGAGTGAGGCTAGCTTTGCTCTCCTGGGGAAACCGGGTGAGTCAGCCGCCCTCTGCCCGGGAGGAACCCTTTCTATGGGGATGCACCTGTGCAAGGTGGACTGGGTCAGAAATGAGCCAAGATGTGAGCAACAGGCTGATGCCTCAAAATCAAGAGAGTGAGTCATGCCATCTGAGGAAAGGATCGGGCCACTTCCCTGCGGAGGCGACGTCTCACTGAGCAAGGTCTGGCCAGAGTCCTGGGCCCTGAGAGGGCAGAATTGTGTGTCATTTAGAGACAAACAGAGAAGACACCTACCAGGAACGCTCGGGTGGTTTTTCTAAGGAGTGTTTCACTGATAATGGGTCAGCGCTCTCTCCTGGGGGGGGGGGAGATACAAAGCCGTCCATTCTTGTCTTGCCTCCAGAGTTCTCCCTCTCATCCCTTCTGGCCATCCACTCGGGACAGAGCTCACTTTTGCACAGCTGAGAAACAGGACTTAGGAAAAAAAAATACATAGAAAATGTGGAACTGCTAATTGCCTCTTCTTCTTAAGTACATTTTTCTTTAAAAAGAAATGTATTTGTTTTTATTTTACGTGTACTGGTGTAGTGCCTGAACCTATGTCTGCGTGGTACATGTGAAGTACCCTCAGAGGCCAGAAGAGGGGGCGGGGTTCCCTGGAATTGGAATTACAGATAACTGTTAGCTGCTATGTGGGTGCTGGGAATGGAATCCGGGTCCTCTTGACAGCTGAGTCATCTCTCCAGCCCCCTCAACTACATTTTGTTAGACGGCTTTGGGGATGGGGGAAAGGCCTTTGTCTAACGCTTTCAAAATATGGCTAGCACAGCTAAGCTCTGTCTACATCATTAAAAACAGCAGTAACAACCACTAAACACAAAACACAGTTAGTGGCCCCATTCGGGCCTTCCTGGGGCGTGGCCCACAGTCAAGGGAAGTGACCCAAAGAGAAGGCCATGTAAGTCTTGAGAACAGAGTTGACTCTTGTGAAAAGAACACTGATGTCCAGAACATGGAGTAGGGCAAGGGCCCAGGCTGCAGAGGGCAAGGTCCTGTGGACCCCTCTCAGGAAACGCAACCTGGCTAGAACAAGTACAGAGCAGACTCTCTGGGGCCCCCGAAGGAGACCCCATTTCTCCTTGCAGAACTGCAAGGAAACAGCACTGAACTCCACAGAAACTGACATCAGTTCCTTGTTTTGTCCTGATCCCCACACCAGTGCCCATCAGCACCACCACCCAGTGTAGAGAATCCCCACACCAGTGCCCATCAGCACCACCACCCAGTGTAGAGAATCCCCACACCAGTGCCCATCAGCACCACCACCCAGTGTAGAGAATTCCCACACCAGTGCCCATCAGCACCACCACCCAGTGTAGAGAATTCCCTGGAGCGAACTGCTCTGAGGCAGAGCTTCTCCATCCAGGGACTTTGGGGACATCTGGAGGCATTTTTTTTTTTTTTTTTTTAACCACAAATAAGACATAAGGGCTGGCAGGATGGCTCAGAAGGTCAAAGAACCTGCTGCCAGGCCTGACATGGTCTAAATTCAATCCTGAGAATCCCCATGACAGAGGGAAAAGAACCAACTCCCACATACTGTGGCATGCATACCTACGTACAGACATAAATAAGTAAACAAACAAATAAATAAATTTATGTTTAAAAAAAGATGTATGGGGGCTGGAGAGATGGCTCAGTGGTTAAGAGCACTGGCTGCTCTTCCAGAGGAGCCGGGTTCAATTCCCAGCACCCACATGGCAGTCACGACTGCCTGTAACTCCAGTTCCAGGGGCTCTAACGCATTCACACCAATGCATATAAAATAAAGTTAGAGGTTGGGGATTTAGCTCAGTGGCAGAGCGCTTGCCTAGCAAGCGCAAGGCCCTGGGTTCGGTCCTCAGCTCCAGAAAAATAGATAGATAGATAGATAGATAGATAGATAGATAGATAGATAGATAAATAAAGTTAAATAAATTTAAAAAAAAAGATGTAGCAGGTGATAGTCAGGATCTTGAAAAATACCCTATGATACAGTCCTAAAAGAAAGACCTCACAGTTTGTTCCTGGGAACCCATGTAGAGGAGGTATAAGGAGAGAAAGGGAGAGATACCAAGAAGGACATGAGAATCAGCAGTAATCCAGCAAGTGCTGCAGGCCCGTAATCCCAGCATTTGGTGGGCAGAAGCAGGGATAAGGAGTTCAAGGTTATCCTCATCTGTAGTTTGAGTTCCAGGTCAATCTGGACTACAGGAAAATCTACCTCAAGAAACAAACAAAAAACAAAAAACAAAAAATACCAGCCAGGCGGTGGTGGCGCACACCTTTAACCCCAGCACCACTGGGGAGGCAGAGGCAGGCAGAGCTCTGTGAGTTCGAGGCCAGCCTGGTCTACAGAGTGAGTTCTAGAACAGCCTGGGCTGTTACACAGAGAAACCCTGTCTCGAAGAAGAAGAAGAAAAAAAAAGGCAATAAAACAATTTGATGGTGAACTTGGGACTACACTATCAGACTAGGGGCCCAACCAACTGCCGTTCCAAGCTCCCAAAGACTAGACAGTCTAGATTTTTCCATCCTCTTTCTTATATGGCCTTGCCACACCCACCACACCTACATTCTCGCACAAAGCCTGCTCTCCATGCAACTAAATCCCATTGATTGATTGATTATTGATTGGATTTGATTTCTGCAGTGATGGGATGAACCCACAACCTCATACATGCCAGGCAAGTGCTCTACCACTAAGCTATATCCCCAGCCAAAAAAAAAAAAAGGAAAAAAAACTTCAGTGAAGCAGAGCCGGGAGAGGTTTCTCACATAGACGGAAGCACAGGGGCTAACAGAGGGTTTTGTTTTGCATTGATTTGGTTAGATCTTGGGCCTTTTGAGGTGGGGGTCTCATGCTAACTCCTGATTGTTCAGCCTCTACCTCACCAGTGCCCTGATGACAACCCTGTGCCACCATGTCCCACTCTGAACACCACAGTAATAAAGCCAATTGTTTGGTTTTCTTTGGAATATGATATTTAAGCTTTATACGGTCTACTTAAAAAAACATTTTAAGTGTGTAGAGGTCTTGTCTGCATGTATTATCAGCACACTACCTGGCAAGACTGGTACCTACTGTGGATAGACAGATGTCCTGGAGCCAGAGTTACAGACGGTTGTGAGCTGCCATGCTGGTGCTGGGAATTGAACCAGGTGCTCTCTGGAAGAGCAGCCAGGGCTCTTAACAGCTGAGCCATCTCTCCAGCCGGATGTTAACTTTCCTCGGGTTGTTCTATGTAGGGCTATTTAGATGGAGACTGCCTGACCTCCTGGGCCATGTTCAAGATCTGGGACGTATGTATATTTTGAGTATTTTACCAAGTGTTTCGGCCTCCCTTCGGCCTATGCAGAAGATAAGGTTTTCTAAATGTGAACTCTCCCTACCCCATCCCCAGGCTCACGACTTTAGAAACGGCATATCACAGCCACTTAACTTTTTCCAGACATAAAATAACCAACAGCTGTGATCCGCCCTGCGCCTGTGCCTCGTCACCTGTGTGGAGGTCACAGGACAACGTAGAGGAGCCAGTTCCCACCTTCCACCATGCGGCTTCCAGGGATCTGCTCAGGTTCTGGTTGTCAGACCCAGTGGCAACTGATTAACCCTCCCTGAGCCACGTCGCCCCGGCACCACCAACGAGACAGCTGGCGTGCAGTTTGGCCGGAGCCAAAACATCTCAAAACTCTTGTTCCAGCAGGGCGTTTATGCCCAGCACTCGGGAGGCAGAGGCAGGTGGATCTCTATGAGTTCGAGGCCAGCCTGGTCTATAGAGGGAGTTCCAGGACAGCCTGGGCTGTTACACAGAGAAACTCTATCTTGAAAATCAAAAAAACAAAAACAAACAAACAAACAAAAAACTAATCAGGCCAGGTTGGTGGCTCTTGGCCGTAATCCATCCCAGCACTCTGCAGGCTAAGGTAGAAAGTTCAAGTCCAGTCTTTGCTACAGAGTGAATTCCAGCCTCAGGAAAAGAAAAGACAGCGAGACACACGTCGATGCAGAAAGGAAGGGGATGCCACACGCGCCAGATTGAGGCTTTTCCTACAAAGACTCCCAGACCGTGCGCACGCTTTCAACATCGGGGGACGATACTGTAAGGGTGCGAGCTTTAGAAGGAACCGGACAAAACCACTTTTCCGGACATCAGACCTTATTAACTTAGCGCTGATTTCTTAAAGAGTTTCCACTGACCTTAAAACACGGAGCTCTAAGAAACTGATGTTTGCAGTTAGAGGGAAGAGAATCCCAGGGCGGCGCTCACGCAGCCACATCCGTAACCAAAACAAAGGGGAAATCCTGGTCCCCAACTCGGAGCCCAGGGACCGCCGCACCCCCACCCCCGCGCGTCACGTGATCGCCCTCTAGCCTTCCTCCGAGACAAAGAAGAGGGAGGAGACTCGGGAACAAAGTGCAAGGGCTGTCGAAACCAGACCTGGCGAGGAAGTTCTCCCCGTCTGAGTTTCTGTCTCCGTGTTTTACCTTACCCGAAGGATATTAAAAATTAACCCGAGCTGTAAAAGGGTTGACTGGGCCGATGCACCTGCCCATCTCAGCCTACCATGGAGGAGAGCCTCCTTGTGGGTGTCCTTCAGTCCTTCAGGCTGTCGCCTCCCACCTCCGGAGAGATCTGGGCTAACTTCCTCCCTGCCTCTCTCTGTTCAACATTCATGTATTTGGAGAAAACTGCCCTCGGACAAATGGACGTCACCAACGGAAACCTTGGAAAAGAAATTTGATGTTGTTTAGGAAAAATGCAACTGGAAGACAGTTGAAAACTGGATGGAGAACCAGGGACCCCCGCCCCCAACAAGCAGACACACAGAGAGACCGGCAGACAGTGAATGAAGATTAACGAACCAGGACCTGCATTCATGCTGAGACCACGTCCTCCATCTATTGCCTCTGACTTCACATCTGCAGACGATTTCCATTATCTAGAATATTTGTGACTGTCATACAACAGTCCCATACTTAGAAATAGATGCAATTATAAATAAAATCTGTTGAGCAGACTGTGAATTTTTTTTTTTTTTTTTTTTTTTTTTTTTTTTGGTTTTTCGAGACAGGGTTTCTCTGTGTAGCTTTGCGCCTCTCCTGGAACTCACTTGGTAGCCCAGGCTGGCCTCGAACTCACAGAGATCCGCCTGGCTCTGCCTCCCGAGTGCTGGGATTAAAGGCGTGCGCCACCACCGCCCCGCAAGCAGACTGTGAATTTAAATTTTTCACAAGAGGAATAAAAGCTCAGTTCTATGATTCGGTGTCGTGTTTAATCTGCCTTGCCATTTTCTTTTTACATTTATTATTGTTTATTTATGGGTATGGGTGTTTTGCTTTCATGTATGTATGTGAACCACCTCCATGCCTGGTGCTGGTGGAAGTCAGGGGGCATGGGAGCCCCTGGAACTGGAGTCAAGAATGGTTGGGAGTCACCATGGAAGTGCTGGGATGTGAATCGGGGTCCTCTATGAAAAAGTAGCTGCTGTTTTTTTAAAAATATTAGCAGCGCTGTTACTGGGCGAAAAGGTCATGAGATATGACAAAACCCAGTATCAGAGCTTTATCGTGAGTGTGTATGGGGGGGAGGCAGAAGAGAGTAACCACGCCTGGGGGAAACACACGTGCAGAAAGAGAGAGAGAGACTGGGGGAGGAGTCTGTGTCCGGCTTTTTAAGGATTGCCCTGCACATGCGCAGGTGGGCTTCCAGAGCCATGCCACGTATGCGCCGATTGCGTGACCACACCACGAGCATTACGTAATCACACAGTACACAGATGATGTAAGACATAAGACCCCTTGCTCAGCTACTGAACTGCGCATGTGCGGTCACACAGCTGGAGTGGGAGAATCCTAACAGTTGCGAATGCTTTTGACAGCTGAGCCATCTCTCCAGACCTGGCTTTGTCTTCTGGTTTGCAGCTTTGCCTTCGGCTTGGCCTGCTTCAGCCGCCGTCCTCCGGATGCCGTCTTCCGGATGCTGGAGACCCGTCTGTAAGTAGTGAAGCCCTTTCCCAACCCTAACACCCTCTTCAACATCACACACACAAAGCAAGTGTTAAGAATGACCCACTAGAGGGGCTGCAGAGATAGCTCAGAGGTTAAGAGTACTGGCTACTCTTCTAGAGACCTGAGTTCAAATCCCAGCACCCACCACCATCTATACATAGCTCCAGTTCCCAGGGATCTGAACATTCCTGGCCTCTATAGACACTGTGTGCAGGTGGTGTGGAGCTATATCTGTAGACAAAACAGCCGTACACACAAAATAAATGTCATTTAAAAAAAAAAGGCTCACTTGAGCCAGGTGTGGTTGCTCAAGCATTTAGTCCCAGCACTTGGGAGGCAGAGGCAGGCAGATCTCTGTGAGTTCAAGTCCAGCCTTGTCTAAAAATGAGTTCTAGGCCAGTTTAGGACCACACAGTGAGACAAAAAAAAAAAAAAAAAGGCTCATTAGAGCTGGATGTGGTGGTACATGCCTATAATCCCAGCACTTGGGATACTGAGGCAGAAAGATCACTTCAAGTTTAAGGCCATCTTGGGTTTTAACGTGAGTTCCAGGCCAGCCAGGACTATACAGGGACCCCCTGTCTTGCAAAAACAAACCAAACAAATAAACAAACAAAAAAGGATTTATTTTATTTTTAAGTGTATGTGTGTGTGTTCCAAGTTAGTTAAAGTCACCACATGGTGTTCAGAAGACACAAAGGAGGCAACACCCAGACTTTTGAATGCTCTGAAGGTAAAAGGTAAGCTGTAGGCAGTAGGCCACAGCTACCCACAAGCATTCTTAGTGCGATGCTAGCCCATAGGCATGAGGCAACAGCAGCCCCCAGCTCATCTACCTCCTAATAGAATTCCTTACGTTTCCAGGTCTGGGCCACTCACACGCTAGCTGAAGGAGGTCAGCACCTTCGGCAAGGCATCCGCCGCATCAGGCTGCCAGGGAACCAGAGTCAGGCCCGGCCTTGAATCAGTCCTCATGACTTCCGGTATGTCCTCGATTCCATCCAAGCCTGGCTGTCTTTCCTGGCTGCCAGTGTGATGACCTACAGTGACCAGGCTACACAGAAGCAACACCTGTGGCTTTCCACGAGTTCCCCCAGTGTCGTGATTCTACATAATCCCGACCGACTTGTGGTCGAGCTCTGCTCACCATGGCCCTGCCTCTCTGATCCTATTGCAATGTTTCAAGATGCAGCAGCCAACAGCCATGTGGACAGTGCATAGCTCCTCCCGTGGAAACCACAGCCGTCCTCAGCTTAGCCACACCCCACCTGCTGGGACACCGGCTCTGCGACACCTCAGCTTCTCCCACACAGAATCCTGTTCCTCCTCTTTCCTTCCTCCCTAGACCACATATCTGGCCTCCCCGCCTTCCATTTCTCCTTTCTACCTCATTTCACAAACTTCCTCGGGCTTCCTCTCTGGCTTACACCTGTGGAACATTACCTTGCCCGTCTGCTTCCCTGCCAGTGATCTCAGTACTGCAAAGAAAACTCACCCCAAACCCGAAAGCAAAGCAAAATGACTGTAGGCCTCCCCAGTGTTGGTTAGCCTGGTTGAACAGGATCACTGAAGGTCATTTAGTATCTAGAACAAAGGATCCACTGTGACTTTGCTGTTTCCTGTGATTACAGCCCAGATACCAGGAGTTACATGTTAATTTGCAGGTTGTGGTCCAATAGAAAAGCTTTTTTTTTTTGTTTTTTTTTGTTAAGACCACCTGCCTCTGCCTCCTGAGTGCTGGATCAAAGGCGTGGGCTGCCACACACAGCCAGTTTTGTATCTAACTTAAATTCATTCTGCTGTTCTAAATACCCAGTTTCCCAGTGTCTTAGAAGTAATTGTACCATCTACTGGTTCACTTGTTAATTGGAAAATTGGATAAAAAATAGGTTCTCAGCCGGGCGGTGGTGGCGCACGCCTTTAGTCCCAGCACTCAAGAGGCAGAGGCAGGCGGATCTCTGTGAGTTCCAGGCCAGCCTGGTCTACAGAGTGAATTCCAGATTCCAGGACAGGCTCCAAAGCTACACAGAGAAACCAAAAAAAGGTTCTCAGCCTTTTGGCTAAGATCATGTGGTCATATGCTCATTTCAAATTTGCATCAGAATTGCATTGGAATTTTCTTGAGAATTTTACTTTGACAGTATTTTCCCTCCACAGCCGTTTGGAATGTGAGCTCTGCCAACCACCCGCCATGTTCGCTTCTAGTCACTTTGCCTAACCCCTGTGCTGTGGTTTTTCTCCATCGTACCTAGCTAGGCCAAGTGTGGAGGCGGTTTCTCTGCAGACTTCCTCTTCCTCCATCTTTACCTTCTCTTCCCAGACTCTTCCCTTCAGTCCACACCTCTGCTAAGATGTGGCCATCTGTTTGGGTGGGAGCTCCACCTCAGCCCCTGGCACCCTGGCATCCCTGTACCCAAAGGGTCTGGAATGTTCTGGTGGAAGATCTACCTCAACTCCCCTCCCCCATCTCACTCCCCAACCCTCCCCCCAAAAGCCCACCACACAGCTCCTCCCCCAGAGCGGCTCAGGACCACTCCCACAGGGTATTTAAGCTGCATCCCTGGAAACAGACACCTGGTTTTCCAGTCTCTCATCCCCTTCTCCTTCCTCTCTGGGGGGCTGGAGAATCACCCAGGAATGCTTTACCCATTAAACCGGGGCTTTTTCTAATTCTGTCTGATTCTGATTTGGTCTTATTTGGATTGCTGTGTCGGCAGAGAGGCTTATCAGGGTGGAAAAAAAAGATCACCACCCTTGAAGAAAAATCACACAGCTGACCTGAGAACATCCATGTCCAGGGTCAGGTCCTGGGTTCCCACAGTCAGCCTTTCTCCTCAGTATGGATGGGAAGAGGTACGACTTAGGTGAGAGGTCACCTCTACTTCACGCTAAAGTCCTCTCACGTTCTCTCCCGTTGCTCACCAGATCTTCCTAGAACCCTGGAGTTGGGAACCAAAGTTTCTACCATGACATTATACTCGCCATCAGGGGAGGATCTCTGTGTGTGTGTGTTTCCTTGGAGGATTCCCTTTCATCCTGTGGTTCACTCGTAGATCACACATTTACGTGAACAGTTGGTCACTTCCCCTTTAAAAAAGGCTTCTGCTTGTTAAGTAAAACTGGCCTCAGACTCACAGAGGTCTGCCTCCGGAGTGCTGGGCTTAAAGGTGTGTGCCATATTTAACATGTTTTAATGTGTTAAACCACTCATTTGAATGAATTAAACATGAGTCTTCCAGGTGACCAGCATTTTATCAATAAAGTGTTTCAAACACGACAGTGTCCCAAATGAAACTGAAATTATGACAAGCTTAAAT